AGCCCTAAACGGTTCTGGCCCAACTTATCTATCCGAACGTATCGCAGCCTATCAGCCCACCAGGACCCTAAGGTCTTCTGGGGAGTCCCTGCTCTCTATCCTGCCGGCTTCACACATGCGGCTGGCGGGAACGAGAGACAGGGCCTTTTCTGTGGTGGCCCCTCGGCTTTGGAACACCCTCCCCATAGAGGTACGATCAGCCCCCTCGCTGATGGTGTTTCGGAATAGATTGAAGACATGGATGTTTAAACAAGCATTCGGTTAATCCGTTGCAACGAATTTTGATGACTAAAGGATTGGTAATCATGGACGATGAATTTTGGACTGCGATTCCAGTTATGAGATGCATGGGATTATTATTGGTGGCCCAATAATTTGTATTGTATATGTGTTTTATGCTTTTAAACTGAATACTGTTTTTTAAATGTTGTAAACCGCAATGAGTCGCCGACTTAGGCTGAGATATTAGCGGTATACAAGCGTATAAATAAATAAACTCTGTTCTAATTTCTATTGTTAGTCCTGACTACAGTAGGTATATTGATTTACCCATGTGCCGATTCACTATTCAACTATTGGCTGAATGTGTCTACTCCAATTGGAACTAACTAGTAAAATGTCAGCCCTTGTAAAGGAAACTGAAAAGATGACAGGTATCCAGAACATGGCATCAAACAGTGCTTGAAGCTTGGAAAGTCATGACTTACCCAGAGGCATATATGCCATATTTCCCCATCAAGACTGTACAGGCTTGAATGGTAATTATTTCAGGAATTACATTGGAGATATGTGTATGCATGTGCCTTCAAGTTGCCTATTGACTTATACAGACCCCATGAATTTCATAGAGCAGGGGTCCTCAGACTTTTAAACAGAGGGCCAGGTCACAGTCCCTCAAATTGTTGGAGGTCCGGATTATAATTTGAAAAAAGCACGAATGAATTCCTATGCACACTGCACAGTCCCAGTCAGGGTTGGCTTGACACGCCTTCCTCATGGCACATTTCTCTCTTTCACCCTTTGTTCGTGTCTCTTTGAATTCCACAGCACTGCTGGTCACAGCTGACCTCCAGTTAGAGCACTCAAGGGCCAGGACTTTCCGGTTCTTGGTGTCTATGCCACAGTTTTATTAGGTGCTATTTTGAGCTCAAACTTTGTTTTATATACTATTTGTTTTATTTTGTATTGTATTGTGTATTTATTTTATGCATTGTTTTAGGGTTTTTTTTGGTCCACCCAGAGGAAAGGTAGTCTTGCCATACATCAAGGGAACCACTGACCGCATAGGGAAGCTGATGAGGAAACACAACATACAAACTATCTACAGACCCACCAAGAAAATCCAACAAATGCTATGTTCAGCAAAGGACAAGAGGGATCCTCTCACTTCTGGAGGAGTCTACCATGTACCATGCAGCTGTGGACAAGTATACATAGGGACCACCAAACGCAGTGCCCAAACACGAATCAAGGGGCATGAAAGGCACTGCAGACTACTTCAACCAGAGAAGTCAGCCATAGCAGAGCACCTGATGAACCAACCTGGACACAGCATATTATTTGAGAACACAGAAATGCTGGACCACTCTCACAATCACCATGTCAGACTACACAGAGAAGGCATTGAAATACACAAGCATGTGGACAATTTCAACAGAAAGGAGGAAACCATGAAATGAACAAAATCTGGCTACCAGTAATAAAAAACTCTAAAATTGCAACAGCACAACAACAGAGAGGAAACAAAAAAGGACATCTCATCACCTCTCAACAAAAGTTGGCTCCAGGCATTGTCAGGCCATTATATGCTAATCAAGGTGATCAGTTGAAACATTCACATCTAACTCCAGCAGACAAGAGTCCGTTGTCTCACCCTGGTCATTCCACAGATATATAAACCCTTTTCCCTAGTTCCAACAGACCTCACTACCTCTGAGGATGCTTGCCATAGATGCAGGCGAAACGTCAGGAGAGAATGCCTCTAGACCACGGCCATATAGCCCGAAAAAACCTACAACAACCCAGTGATTCCGGCCATGAAAGCCTTAGACAATACAAAGACAATTTAGGTTACAACAGTGGTTCATTGAGCAATCCATTAGCTGTTATGACTTCATTGAAAACAAAACCCCAAATGCTGGGACACTTATCACAAAACTTTCATTGCCAAGTATAGTCCTGCCTTTAGTTTCAGCAGCCATTAAAAATCACGTGACTGTGTAAACTGAATTCCTGGCCTTTGCTCTTCATAATAATACCTTTATTTCTAAATGAGCAAGAATGGAAAGAGTCGATTGCAAAATGCACACTGACCTTTCACCCACACTCCCCTTTGCCTAAACTCTTATCTGAACTGGAACCCTTATCTGTGGTCAAAAGAATGAGATTGTTGCAACAGACCCAATAGTGAACTTAGGGGCTGATTGTGGTGGTGGGGATAGAGAGCCCCGTCCCCCCTCAATAACCACTACAGAAGCAAGAGCCGAGAACCTAGAAAAGCAGGCAGGACATAAAATAGCAAGGCATGCATGAAAGACAAAACTGTCTATTTATTGTGAATGTTTGTTCTAGCACAACAGGTAGTTAGGAAAGCAGGGGTGGAGATAAAGATGAGGGCAAATGAGGGCATTGTTTCCCAATGAGAATTCTGCCATTCTATGAAATTTCCCACCATTCTTCAAATTTCTAGCTATGTAGAATGTGAAACCTTGAACTAGTTCACACCTGGAACTCTTAAATTTGTTGTGTTCAATTTTGTCAGTAACCTTGTCCGCCTTTTTTCTTTGGCCACCAAGCCTATATTTTTATGCTATCAGCGGATATTTTCAATGACTCTTATGTTAGAAATGTGGAGGTACTGAAGGTAAATTCCATTTTGCGGTGCTGAATTCTTACTGGGGGCAACATCCTCCTTTCATCCTCTCTGTAGTAACTTCCATGTAAAGAACTGAGTCTGAAAAATAATAATGTTATTGGTCCGAATGAATAGGACTGACCTGGTGGACTATCCAAAGCCAGCATTTGTTCAGTGAAGGAAATCAGAGTGTCTCTCCTGAATTTGGAAAGTTTCTGCATGATTGCTAAGTGCACTTGCAGGCACTGGGTGCATGAGATGGGAGTGCTTGAGTTGATACCCATAATGCAGTGCAGGAATCGCAAATTTGAACAAAACTGGCATATCAGAAGATCCTGGTCTGATTTCTGCTACTGACTGAAAATTGCTCAGGGGAACAAATGATCAACACTGCAGATTAGTTATCTGTAACATTCCAACATTTGTTTTTTCAGTGTTCCTGCTGCTTCTGTTTTCTTCAAAAGATTGCTTTAAAAAGTTGTAACTTTCTCTTTTCATCTCAGTAGAGAAACTTCTGTCAAGAGTTCTGACTCATAATTGTCAGTTTTCTTAAATTATTATTTTATATCCTGCCTTTCTCTCTCTGTAGGATCTATTTTACTCCTCTCCTGTTGTAACCTGGGAAATATACAATGGAGGTTTTATTTGGAAAACCTCTTGAGATAATCACAGTATGCAGCATGGATTATGTTTCTCATCATAAAATATATATGCTGGCTACCTAGTAGAAATATATGGTAAAGTGCAGTGGTGTTTTTAATCTAGGTATATCATATATTTTATGGGAAGAGAAACAGGTAATGTGGCACATCTAATGTAAGACCTTCTTGTTGTTTTGGACTACTGCTCTCATCATCCCAGTAGCCCAGCAATTGGCTATACAGCCTGGAGATGATGGTTGTGTTAGTCTAGTAGCTCTAGTTTATATTGTTACGTTTAGTGCCAGAAAACAATCTGTCCCTCTATAGCAGTGGTTCCCAACCTTTTTTGACCAGGGACCACTTCGACCAGGGACCACTCTCCAACATTAGTACCAAAAGGGTTACGAATCAGTTTTTGGTCAACTTTAGATTCAATCTGGTTATTTGGGAATCAGCTCTAGTTTCTGATACAGAACATATGTCATCCAGTAGTTGCTATCTGCTTGCCCACAGAAAACCATGTTTAATAAGCCTCAGCACTACAAGAGGGTTTTGTGAGACCAGTTGCTCTCATTACAACAGTTTGGCTGCGGACTATATTTTAGTTCTTGTGGACCACTGGTGGTCCATGAACCACAGGTTGGGAACCACTGCTCTATAGCACCAAACGGAAAGTCCAACTGCAGTGCCCTTGAAGATAGAATGACACCAGGGTCGCACTAGGTTTGTGCAAAAATAAAATTCTTTTACTCTTTTCAGCAGCGTTTCATCAACTCTCGGCAGGAGAAAAATAACAGAGCTTGATACCCTCAACAGCAATTTGTAAAGTGAATGGTTATTGTAGTAATTGTTTATTAATTGTGTAATGTGTTAGGTTGTTAACTGTTTTTTACACTGTAGCATTGAATTTTTGCTGTTCTTATTTGTTATGAACCGCCGTGAGTCGCCTTCGGGCTGAGAACAGCGGTATATAAGTAAAGTAAATAAAATAAATAAATAAATAAATAAATAAAGAGCTCAAAATGGCATACTTAAACCTCTGTAGTTATACCCTACTGATTGCAGCAAGAGAAATCACTATTAACCCATGCAACATACCTGCATGTGGACCCTTTCTTTCTTTACACATACATCTACCTCAACCTTGCTGTTGATCCTTGCAAAAACTCACCCAGTTTTCTGTATACCTTAACAGATATCAGGTCAGAGAAGGGTGGTATAATGTTAAGCAAGTTTTACAGTAACCAATACATAGTAATACCCCAACAAGAGAACACTTCTACCCAAGAGTTGTTATATAAGGTTACTGGAAGGGGAGGAAATTAAATCTTCATTTACTAATTTCCCTGCAGTATGTGTTTGACTACCATGATGGAGATGTTTTCTGCTGTGTGGCCGACATTGGTTGGATCACAGGACACAGTTATGTGGTCTATGGACCTTTGTGCAATGGAGCAACAACGGTCCTTTTTGAGAGCACTCCACTCTACCCTAACCCAGGTAAATATAGATATACTGGCATCCTGTCAGGTATTTATGTCATTGTAAACTGACTAATGAACATTAAAGATGAATTGTGATGTTGTACAATCCTTGTATTCTTTAGAGGTGAGCAGAGACTTAGCTATTTGCACCATGTCATTGCAATAATGGGGCCAGCAGCAAATTCTACATCTTGTGGGATGCTCTGTCTGTCACAATGCACTTTCATTGATTACAATATTTCAGTGATATAAGGTGAGCTGCGGTGGTGCAATGGGTTAAACTCTTGTGCCGGTTGAACTGCTGACCTGAAGGTTGGTGGTTCAAATCCGTGAGATGGGGTGAGCTCCCATCTGTCAGCTCCAACCACTCATGCAGGGACATGAAAGAAGCCTCCCACAGGATGATAACACATCCGGGCGTAGCCTGGGTAACATCCTTGCAGACGGCCACTTTTCTCACATCAGAAGCGACATACAGTTTCTCAAGTCACTTCTGACATGAAAAAAAAAACAACCTGATATAAGGTTACCAATCTTAGCCTCTTTTTCTCCCATATGGAGATGGCTTTTGATTCTATCTGATCTGCCCCATTGAACAAGGGCTAATATTGCCATGACTTTGACCAGAATAAGTTATCAACAGGATCCCAGGCTTGTAGCTTTAGGGCAGGGATGACAAACTCATTTTCATTGAGGGCACATAAGCCTTACGGTTGTCTTCAAAAGGCCATTGAATCCATACATGGAGAATCTGTGGATACAAAAAGCCAACTATAATTTTTTTTTACATAGTGGTCAGTGCTCTTTAGTTTTTACCCAATTTGTTATTGAATGACCACTCCCATCACTTTTGATTATACATCATGTGGACTGGAGATAATGGAGATTGCAACCCAACAGCACTTATGGCTCTAAAGTTGGGGAAATATCAAAGGACATTTTAAAGTCAGACATCATATCCACAGGCCTTGTTTCTCAATTTAAATTCCATGATCTTGACTGCAGCCTTGCAGATGTCACTGTATCACAGCTCTCATCAGCTCTAGTCATGATGTCTAATGATGAGGAATACAGGAGTTGTAGTCCAGCATATGGAGGGCCACATAAAATGACATGGACCTTGAGCTTGACACATGTGCTTTAGGATGATATTTTTTTCTTATTTCAGGGCGTTACTGGGAAACTGTGGAGAGATTAAAGATAAATCAGTTCTATGGAGCCCCTACAGCTATTCGCCTCCTGCTTAGCCATGGAGATAACTGGGTAAAGAAATATGACAGATCTTCCCTCAAAATCCTTGGATCAGGTGGGTATTGAACCAATCAGCTAGGTCTTCATCATTGTATTTGTTGACAAAAAATTCTCAGGAGATTGACCAATGGCATATAAATTAATGGGGAATGGGGATAGTGGTAGCTACTTGTCATGATGAATATATATGCTTTTCAGTATGCATCCTTTTGTATATCAGTTGCTGGGGAGCATAGATGGGAGTCTGCTGTTGCACTCTTCTTGCTGGTGGGTTTTCCGGAGGGAATTTGCTTGCCCTGGTGTGAGTAGAATGGCTCTTCTCATGAACAGAAATAAAACTATGAGACACTAATGAGATGTTTTATTGATTTATATTGATTGTTTATTATGCTACCGTTTTAATTGTTTTTAACTGTTTTATGATGTTTTTGAACATTGAATTTTGCTATTGGTAACTGCTCTGAGTCGCCTGAGGGCTAAGAAGAACGGTATACAAATATAGTAAATAAATAAATAAATAAATAAAACATTGGCCAGGTCAAGAGTTATATATACATATACACCACATCTTATAGAGAAGATAGAGAGGATTTAAAGTCAACCAGGCAGAGATGCGATATATTTCTGTTGAGGTTTAAGGCTTGAGACATTATTTCTTTCTTATGGCCTGCTTGCTTTTTCTGTCCCTTGCAGTGGGAGAACCTATCAACACAGAAGCCTGGGAGTGGTTCTTCAATGTGGTTGGAAATGGGCAGTGTCCAGTAGTTGATACATGGTGGCAAACCGGTAGGATCGCTTTGGTTTCATAAACTTTCAAAAAATGAATATTATTTATTCATGGATTAACAATTTACGTACAAAGCTGGATCTTATTCATGGTATATTAAGTGTCAAGAGATAAACAGCCTTCATCTAACAGACTTAGTGTATATCCAGACTGGACCGTTATAGCAATTTGAGTCTAATTGCTGAAGATTTGTCCTATAGAATCTTGGGAGTTATAGTTTGGGAAGCCATTTAGAATTCTCTAGGATAGTGTTCCCATCCTTTGGTTTTGGATCTCAACTCCCACAATTCCTGAAAGTTGGTCAAGCTGGTTGGGGCTTCTGGGAGTTGAAATCCCCAGAGGATCAAAGGTTGGGAACCACTGCTCTAGCTCTCAGGTACAGAATTCTAAGTACCTCATGATATATAAATGCCAGGATTTCGTAAGATGGAACCATAGCGTAACATTGTATGGATACATTCCTAGCTACCATAGACAATGCTGAGGAGTAGAGGAGTTCTGATAAAACAATATCTAGAGGGTCACATGTTCTGCACCTTAGTCTATAAATATCATAGGCCTTATGTACATAAAAAATATAACAACTGTATTTTGCTTTGCCATATAAACAGCTAGAGATCACATAAGGGATGTGTTTCTGTATACATTTTCTCATTATCCAGATTTTACAAATATTACCATTTTGTTTTGCATTGTTTAGAAACAGGAGGCATCTGTATTGCTCCTCGTCCTTCAAACCCTGGAGATGAGATCCTTCCAGCCATGGCCATGAGACCGTTCTTTGGCATCCAGCCTTCCATTCTGGATGATAAAGTGCAGTTTTATTTTTTTGTTGTCTGCCTACTAATCTGACTGTTTTATAATTCACTGTTCAATTTACACAATCATCTCAAGCTAGAGATCATCAATAACATTGAAGATATTGCTCATTTTTTCCTGCTTGCGCTTATGCCTGGAATACTTTTCTGGAATACCTCTTTACTCAAGCTGTGCTTGATCACTTTGGTCTGGGTGTTTGTGAGACCAGCAGGCTGCTGTGTCTCTGTCAGAGAGAGAGGAAGGCAAATATTTGTTGGCAAAACAGACTTTGTGGGTTTCTGGAACATTATCAAAAACATATGAGGAAAACTGTATTCACCAGAGAGAAAAGTGAAGATGCCCATCTATAGCAAACCACCTTAAAACTCTATGACGTAAAAACACAAAAACACATTATTGTCAGCCTCCAACCCAACAGGAAAATGAAGCATGAAAGTATTGTAAAAAATATTAGAAAACAATGTTGGAAAGGCACAATTGTATAATACAGTAGAGTCTCGTTTATCCAACCTTCGCTCATCCAACGTTCTATATTATCCAAAGCAGTCTGCTTCCCGGCTGGATCCACAGCTGTTTCAATACACTGCGATGTTTTGGCACTAAATTCGTAAATACAGTAATTACTACATAATGTTAGCGTGCATTGAACTGCTTTTTTTTGTTGATTTGTTGTAAAACATGATGTTTTGGGGCTTAATTTGTAAAATCATAATGTAATTTGACATTTCCCTTAATTCCTCCTTATTATGCAATATTTTCACTTGTCCAACGTTCTGCCAGCCCGTTTATGTTGGATAAGCGAGACTCTACTGTATATACTACACTATACATGCATTATATATGCTTATATCATAAAATATCTGTATAAATGGATGCATAGTAAGAAGCATATAAGCAAAGTATTACAACTCATCTTCCCATTCAAGAAGATAGGAAGATCCATTTTAAAAAATGGATGATCAGAATTTATATACAAGTTCTTAGACTACACCAAAGTGCATAATTGAGTTAAAGCTTTGTAGATGAAGGGCTTCCCCTGTGAATTTAGATTACAGAGAAATGTTGGCTGTGTTTTAGTTTTAAAAGGATTAATAATGTGGATTTGTGAATGAATCTGATGTTTAGTCTTTTATATACCTACTAGGCTTTAGTCCGTTATATACCTACTTTCTAATTATCTATACTAGGAGTAAATTTAGTGAGTAAATTTGTACAGCATTGTGTTGAAAGTTCCCTTCTTTAATGAATTCCACACTACTTTTCCTCCAGGGAAATGTTTTAACACAGAATGATATCTCTGGAGCTCTCTGTATATCTCAAGCCTGGCCAGGGATGGCAAGAACTATTTACAATGACCACCAAAGGTTTTTGGAGACCTACCTGAAGCCTTACCCAGGTACATATTTGTGGGGAGGATGAATTCTTAATGATTAATATGGGTTAGAAATAGAAAGCAGAACTCTTTCTTTTGTGTTTATGAATTGTGAGACTTCAACATCCATGCTGAAACTTTCAGTCGGGAATGGCTCAGGACTTCATGGCCTCCACGACAAGCATGAGTCTTTTCCAAGTGGTGCCTGATCCTACCCAATCTGTAGGGCACAACTTTGGACCTTGTTTTCTGTGCAAGATGGGAGGATGGTGATTGTGGAGGAACTTGTCACAGTCCGTTGTCATGGACCACTACCTGGTCAGGTTTAGACTTACTAGGACTTCAAACCTCCACAAGGGTGGAGGGTCAATTAACATGGTCCACTACAGGAGGCTTATGGATTCAGATTGATTCCTGATAACTCTAGGAAATTTTCCTGTCACTTCAGCAGGCAATTCGGTTGAAGTTCTGGCTGACCCCTGGAATGGGGAAATGGCCATGGCAGTAAACACAATAGCTCCTGAATGCCCCCTCCCACAGAGTAGAGCCAAACCAGCTCCTTGGTTGATGGTGAAGCAAGTGAGATGGAGACTTTATTTATTTGTTTATTTATTTATGACATTTATATGCCACCCTTCTCACCCGAAAGAGGACTCAGAGCGGCTTACAAGGTATAGATAGATAGATAGATATATAGATATATCCACATACAATATATTATATTATTAGCATAGTACAATATCAGTAATATTACTATATTGTATTATACCATTATATATTATTAGTAATACTACATGTAATACAAATATATAATTATAATATCATATTATTATTAGTAGTATTATATTGCATTACATTATGCATTCTAGAGCAACATTGGCAGAAAACTCTAAGTCAATCTGACTGGGCACGGGCTAGAACAGGCATGAACAAACTTTGGCCCTCCAGGTAAGCTTGGGATTTCTGAAAGTCCAAAACACCTGGAGGATTGAAGTTTGCCTATGCCTGGGCTAGAGCGCATTTGAAAGCCTACTCCACAGAAATGGAGGCAGCAGAGAAATCGATTGCTGTCCCCATTGCATCTGCAAAGAACCATCCAGCTGAGCTGTTTTGAGTGATCAGAGGACTACTATATACTGGTCCTAAAGAAGAAAACTCTGACCATTCAACGGCCTGCTGTGAAGAACTTGCATGATAGTCGCTCAGATCTGTTCTGACCTGGATGCTGTTTCTGGCCCTCAGTTTGTGATTGTCCACCACTCATTTTAATCTTTAGAGAAGTTCTGAGGCAACCAAAGTTCTCTTGCCACAGGCTTTGCCTGGTGTTCACTATTCACACATTCCTTGCACATGCAGCAGGGCATATTCAGCCACCCCCTCTGGAAGAGAAGGAATCTATCTTTAGGGTTGCCAGTGTGAAAACTGGAGACAACTTCTGAACTTTGATTGGTTGTGTGGAAGAGGGAATTTCAAGGTGTTACACAATCAAAGAACAAGCAGTAATTGAAATTTCTTCTACACAACCATTAAAGGCACAGGAGCTGTCTCAAGTTTTCAATCAGGCAAATTTTAGGAGGAAGCCATACTAGTGGTGCATTTCACAAAATTGGATGATGGTGATGAGTCCTTGGAGCACAGTGTCTGCTGTTACTCTGGGCTTACTTATTAATCAGCAGGTTTTTTTCCGTGCCAGGAGCAACTCGAGAAACTTACCTGGTGGCACAATGGGTTAAACCCTTGTGCTGGCAGGACTGCTGACCGAAAGGTTGGCAGTTTGAATCTGGGGAGTGGGGTGAGCTCCCACCTGTTAGCTCCAGCTTCTTGTGCAGGGACATCAGAGAAGCCTCTCACAGCTTTGTTAAACATCTGGGCGTCTCCTTGGGCAATGTCATTGCAGACAGGCAATTCTCTCACTCCAGAAGTGACTATTCAGCAGTGTGAGGTTGTCATCCCAGATATCATTTTTGATGTAATGACAAGTCAAGAAATTGATAGGTATTAATGTATTGGGGTTTTTGTGTGTGTGTGTGTTTCTACTATCTGACAGGAGCAGAGGTGTTGATGAGCCACCAAATTCTTTGGGGAGAAAGACACTTTTTGATAAAAGTAAATTATGTGAACAGAGTACAGAAAATGCTGAGTTGTCCTATTCTGCCAGATCTAGTGTGGGAAATACCAATGGACCTATTACAGCTCTGGGGTATTATGTGCTCTTCAAGAGCTGGTTTCTCTGTAACATGCTAGCTTTTAATAGATATGTTTTTCTTCCTTCTTATGGAAGATGCCATGTGTAGTTTCGAGTGACAATGTTTAAGAACAGGTTTACCATGCCTTCTGTTTGTCAGAACTACCGGTAGTTGGAAGATGCTTGGGCTTTTATTTTACTGTCATTTCATTAAAATGGAAAACATACCCAGTTGGTCCCTGTGATTGCATATTGGAAAAAAATGAGTTCTGGAGGGCAAACTGGATATGATTAAATTTCGTATCTCATTGGAACGCCTCTAGTGTTCCTCAGAACAAAACAGCCGACTTCATAACTCATTAAAACCTTTTTCCTGCTTCTTAGGCTATTTCTTCACTGGAGATGGAGCATATCGAACCAGTAAAGGATATTACCAGTTAACAGGTCGCCTTGATGATGTCATCAATGTCAGCGGGCACCGACTGGGTACTGCTGAGATAGAAGATGTTTTGGTAAGTGACTACAATGTAGATTCTCGTAGGCATCACAATAGGCAGTGCAAGATCTAAGAAAACCAATTTATATACTACAAATTGTCAGGGGAAGATTTTTTTTAGGCTGACTATACCCAATTTACTCAACTCTAGATTCTTGCCAGGATCCTTGAATTTGGTAATAAATTCACTTTGTGTTCCAGAATAAGCATGAGGCAGTGGCAGAGTCGGCCGTGATTGGATATCCTCACAAGATCAAAGGAGAAGGTGAGTGACCCAGTTTGACTGCGACTGCTGCCATGCTCACAATGGTTTCTCTCTTCATTGGGAATTACAGTATACAATAGGATCCTCCAGTGAAACCTTTCATTTCCATAGAGCATGTTTGCTGTTTGGTTGGAAAGGGTATCACTTGAATGTGTCTGATTCCAGCCAAATCCCGAGGAATGACAAAGGTTAATTGGTGGGCAGTCACCAGACAAGCAAGAGGAGGGAGGAAGCATGCAAGCATATGGGCCAACTCTCACCTGCAAAAGGCTGCCAAACTGATTTTGTGATGTTTTTGCACTACAAAGTAATTTTTCTGTACAAAATGAGACTCATTTGCAAGTAAGAGCAGGCATGCATCGGCTTGCACCTGAAACAATGGGTTCAAATTGCAGGAAAATATATTCTACCTACATATTAGGAAAAACTTCCTGATGGTAAGAGCTATTTGACAGTAGAATATGTTGCCTTGGAGTGTGGCGGAATCTCCTCCTCTGGAGGTTTTTAAGTAGAGGCTGGATGGCCATCTGTTGGGGATGCTTTGATTGTTTGTTGAAACATGACAGGATGTTGGAGTAGGTGGCTCTTGTGGTCTCATCCAACTCTGATTCTCTGAAGCCTCCTTGGCAACCAACTGTGTGGAATTCTAAGTTATATCGTAGAAACCTATACCACACTTTTTCCTCAGCTAGTGGGATGTTTTTGTGAGCAGAAGCTGCATGATCTGCCTTTGGAGAGTGAACATATACTTTTTTTCTGTTGTCTCTCCCATAATATGTCCTCATATTGCACTCCCCCCATTTTTCAGAAGGCCTGTCTCCCATATATATATATGTCATTCCTATCTCATCCAGTGTTTTATCATTTTATGTCGTACATTTGGCCTGCCTGTTGTGATTGATTTTTTCACCTTATTACTTTTTTCTGTTTTATTTAATGTTATATTTATTTTATTGTGATATTTTTGTTGTTCTGTATTTTTGTGTTACGTATTACCGGGCTTGGCCTCATGTAAGCCGCCCCAAGTCCCCTTTGGGGAGATGGTGGTGGGGTATAAATAAAGATTATTATTATTATTATTATTATTATTATTATTATTATTATTATTATTATTAGGTGGGGTACTAAGACTATGTGCAATATATTGCTAAGAGTTCCCTCGCAGCAACTGCTGTACAACAAAATACAGAATATGTTACAAACAGCATCACTACCTGCAATGACTGCAAAATAACAATGCATTTCAAAAGCAAACTAAGGGATGAGAACAGTGCTACTCTCTGGAGGGCGTATCTCTGTATAACATTTTCTTGTTACCTCCCCCCCTCAACCCCCCAAGTTACTGTACTTTTGAAGTGATTTTAGAAGTACATTGTGCTAACTATCAGTTTTATGCCATTCACTGATTAGTTATAAGGGATTTTTTTTCCAAGCAGCAAAACAACTTTCGTTTAATGGGAAGACAATGCCACCAGCAACAAAATTTAACTGAAGCCACATGATTTTTGGAGAGGGGGAAGATGAAGTCCAGAATGTTAACCACATGACCTCCTTTGACATGTGTCTCTACATCCAATATCAATGGATCTTGCTTGTGGTATCTCTTCTTACAGGTGTCTATGCATTTGTCATGTTGAAGGAGGACTGCAGTTTCTCCCAAGAAAGCCTGGCTTCTGAACTTCGGGGACTTGTCTCAAAAGAGATTGCAAAATATGCAGCACCAGAATATATTCAGGTAACAACCTGTAATCCGCTTCCTTGTACTCTACATTTTCATAACTTTGTCCTCTACAATGCAGAATCCTTGCACTCTGGCTGAGGACAGAATACAAGGTGGAACAGCTATAGCAGTGTTGTTTTACATATATTTTAACAAACATCTCTTCGGGGAGAAACTGTTCCAAGACACACAAAAATTGGAAAAACAAAGGACCAGGAAAGCACATCAACTGTGCTCTCTGACTTTTCTTCTATGCTGCAGAGACACAGATACTATCCCACAATTTCTTGCAGCCAAAAGGACTTTCAAAACACAACAGGCCCACCGTATCTATGACCACCTGCTTCTAGAACATGGCCTTACAGCCCAAAAAAGCTACAACAACCCAGTGATTCTGGCCATGAAAGCCTTCGACAACAATTCAAAACATTCAGTTTTTTCCTTTCTGATTGGAAATTAACTAATTGGCAGTTACCTATATATGTATATTGCCTATGACCAAAACCAATAATTTAATTGTTTTGAGACCAACACCTGGTATTCTCTTAAGCAAATGCATTTGCTAACTACTTGCTAGTAATGTTTACAATCCTGGTTGAGCATCCTTTATCTAGAATCCCAAAATCTGGAACTGTTTACATAGGCGGCTCTGATAGCGACACCTTTAAGGTATGTTTATAAGATGTATATGAAAAATAAATTAATTTTCTATTGAGATTGCCACCAAATACAGGTGTTTCAACCCCTCCCCAAATCTAATAAAATGTTTAATCTATTTAACATGTCTCGCCCTGATTGCAAATGTACCTCCAAACTTAGCTTAGTAACCAGCAGCTGCACTCCCCATTGAGTCCCTGTAGCTTCCATGCCATTCTGCAGCTGGACGGGGTGGGGATCACTATGTCCGTATGGCCTGCTGTATAATGAATACATTATCCATTGAGATTTAGCAGGGTGCTCTGGAGGTCCCTGAGATCATAATTCAGCTTTTGGGAACAGTGACATAGTGAAGACATTTCTCTGACCATCCTAGAATCATAGAGTTGGAAGAAACCTCATTGGCCCTCCAGTCCAACCCCCTGCCAAGAAGCAGGAAAATTACATTCAAAGCACCCCTGACAGATGGCCATCCAGCCTCTTTTTAAAAGCTTCCAAAGAAGGAGCCTCTACCACACTCCGGGGCAGAGAGTTCCACTGCTGAATGGCTCTCACAGTCAGGAAGTTCTTCCTCATGTTCAGATAGAATCTCCTTTCTTGTAGTTTGAAGCCATTGTTCCATATCCTAGTCTCCAGGGCAGCAGAAAACAAGCTTGCTCCCTCCTACCTATGACTTCCTCTCACGTATTTATACACGGCGATCATGTCTCCTCTCAGCCTTCTCTTCTTCAGGCTAAACATGCCCAACTCTTTAAGCCACTCCTCATAGGGCTTGTTCTCCAGACTCTTGATCATTTTAGTTTATCCTCCCACTCTCCAGCACCTATGGCATGCCCTGGTGTCTGCAATGGCTCATTGATAAGTCTGAGGCGTGTGTGTGTCTGTGAAAGTACAAGATAACAATGACTTTTTTGATGCCCCCCACCCCCATAAAAGACATGCAGGCACCAGGTTGTCTTACATCTGTGTATGCCACTACCAGGATGCTAGCAACAGAGAAGGTGGCCATGGCAAGGCTTCAAGTCCTTCTCTACTTCCTTTTCCAAAAGTCAGTAATGCAGGACCCCCAGTTTTCTATTAATGCTTCTCTTTTGTTTCTTCTTCAGATAACTCAGCATCTGCCCAAGACTCGCTCAGGGAAAATTATGCGGCGGGTTCTGAAGAAGATCGTAGAAAACAAAGCAGATGAACTTGGAGACTTGACAACTCTGGATGACCATGAAATAGTGAAAAAGATCATTGAGGGACATGGGCAACTTTTGCAGAAAGAACAGGGCCGGTAACAAATGCTCCTGAGCACCAACAGTTGTGTCAGGAAAAAAACATTTTAAGAAGATAATACCATAAGAAGAACCCTGCTGGATCAGACTGAAAGCCTGTCCGGTCCAGCATTTTATTGGAACAGTGGCCAACCAGTTGCCTGACCTCCAGAAGGGGCCTGTAATAGTTTCGAACTGCTGTGATTCCTTTGGTATATTATCTTGCAGAAGGTGTTTTAATAATACATGGTGAATTAAAAAAAACAAACATCCAAAGCAACTAACAATACATTTTCCCAAGAGGGGTGAGGAGCATATGGGTGATTGCTGAGGAGGAAAAAAGAGAAGAAGTTTACTGATTAATACTGGGCACCAGGTTGCCTTCTTTACGAAACCACTCTCAGGTGACAGTGCATGTTCTAGGAGACTGACAGAGCAGCATAGAGACAGGGACCTACTCTTCCTGACACACCACCACGCATCCAAAACATTCAGTAAAAAATAATTTTAAAAACCCCCACTTTTAAACAGACTCAGGAGCGTTGGTCAACTTTATTCCAATGATGGGGGAGAGGTTCAGATTTTCACACTGGAAACATTTGGACATACTCATAAAAGAGAAAGGAGAGGGAAATATAAAAGGGTGGATACAGAATATCTGTCCGTCTATCTATTTACCTATCTATTAAAATCAGTGCATTATTTTGTCTATTGGACGCCATGCCTTTGTATTCTGAATTTCAATCAAAATGGGGTAAAGATTTCTCATCTTTTCTCATTCTTGCAGCCCTGCCAGTTGCGATTCTCTCTATGTAAGCAGATAAAGAGGTCTGCCGCAGTAGGAAAGGCTGACATTATTTCCAATGTTTCCATGTTTGTTAGATAAATGCTTACATGATCTATAGCAGTAGTTCTCAACCTGTGGGTCCCCAGGTGTTTTGGCCTACAACTCCGAGAAATCCCAGCCAGTTTACCAGCTGTTAGGATTTCCGGGAGTTGAAGGCCAAAACACTTGGGGACCCACAAGTTGAGAACCACTGATCTATAGTAAATGTAAAGGTAAAGATGTCCCCTGACATTAAGTCTAGTTCAGTGACTCTGGAGGGTGGTGCTAATCTCCATTTCTAAGCATTGTCCACAGACACCTTCAAGGTCATGTGGCCTGCATGACTGTATGGAGCACAGTTACCTTCCCACCAAGGAGGTACCTATTGATCTACTCCCATTTGCATGTGTGTGAACTGCTAAGTTGGCAGAAGCTGGGGCTAACAGCAGGAGCTCACAGCGCTCCCTGGATTCAAACCGCTAACTTTTTGGTCAGCAAGTTCAGTAGTACCACCAAAGGCTCTTTCGGAAAGGTTTGATTCTTCTTCATCGCACTTCCAACAAACTTCCACAAAGAGAATGAATGCACATTTGCAATAGTGAGGTAGTTAATAGTCGAGACTGTTGCATCCCTTATGGAGGTTGTGCTCAGGCAAAGAGCATGAAACTGATCCGTAATAATATAGACAGGTTCAGTTGAGGGGAGTTTGTGACACCTCCATCATGTTTGCTGCTGCACAGCTTTCCAAGCTGTTCTCATTTCAAGTAAGATGAACAGATGGAAGACGAATCCCTTTCTTCTTTTCTCATCAAAGTCATGACAAAGTAGTAAAAACAATCATCAAGGCAATTCACCTAAATGGCTAGAATAAGGGTTCTTCTTATTCCCATTCTTCAAGGTCCTTCAGTTACAGAAGCCTCATTGCCATCTCTTGGCTGTGAAATTCCAAATCCTGAGCCAAAGGTCTTCCTTTAAGGCATGTTGAATTGAAGGCACTTTAGTAACAGAGCCCAGCGGAGACTTTAACTGTTCAGTCTTTCTTGATTCTCGTTAATTCCCATTTTCCTCCTCCACATAGTTTCAAAATCCAACTGTGGAACTGAAAGGAAACAGAGTTCAAAATGGGAGAAATGACTTTCAGAAGGGCTTGGCCCACCCATAAAGAGGAACTGTGGGTTGAAACAATCTTTTTGTTTGCCTGGATAGGCTAATTCGCCATGCCCATCCTACCTTTTCCAGACTGCTACGATGTCCCACGCTGACCACAGTCATCCCTAGTTGGGCGCAGATCCTGTACAATTCACTCTCTGCTTCCTCCGTCAGTGCACTGGTAGCTTCATCCAGCACTACAAGCAAAAACAGGACTCTTTTCAATATGGTAGCGCCCAAGGTGACCCACAACATCTAGTGCCCTCTTCTGGAGTGAAACATGGCCAGTAGGAAGATGGTGGCAGATCTAATTGGTGCCCTCTTCCTTTGGCTGGACTTAATGGGAAATTCTCAGCCTCTAAACCAGAAAAAAGGCCAGTTACAAAATCCACAAGGTAGTTTGAGATAGGAAGAATGAATTCCCCCTTGTAAACCTTTATGTATCTAAACCAGGCACGGGCAAACTTGGGCCCTCCAGGTGTTTTGGACTTCAACTCCCACAATTCCTAACAGCCTCAGGTCCCTTCCTTTTTCCCCTCAGCCGCTTTACTGACATGTCTTCATGATGCTTTTATAGTCCATGCTACATTTCAAACTTTATTTCTGTTTTTATTTTTATTTTACTACCAGCCACTTTGACTTCCATTTTTTGCAGGAAAGTAAGACAGAAATGTAATAATAATAACGAAAAGGACAAAACAACACCACATTCTCCTATTTCTTGCATGGTACTTGCACCTTGAGGCAGAGTCTTCATTTCAGCTTGGGAAAAGTATGGAGATGACTTCTGTCATCCGAGAAGACAGCCTTGTGATGTTCAAGGCAGAACTATACCTGTGATACAAGGCCACCCAACTCTGGCATGTCTAAACTTAATCAGACATTTTTTTTACACATTTCCCATTCCTGTATAGTATCTGGCCTAGAAAACTATAATTTTCACCCAGTAGGGAGACAGGGGACATCACAACCCAAAACATGTATACTTAATTGACTACTTGATGTCAAGATAAAAAGTATATCAAAAGATATGACAGTAATGGAACACAGAAAGCAATAAATGATAAACACACATTTTAAACTGGGTTGCTGTGAGTTGTCCAGACTGTATGGCCATGTTCCAGAAGCATTCTCTCCTGACGTTTTGTCCACATCTAGGCAGGCATCCTCAGAGAGTTCTTGTCTGCTCGAGGCAGGTGTGAATGTTGCAACTGGCCACCTTGATAAACAATCAGGGCCAGCTAACACCTTCCAACAAAGGATTCCTCTAGGTAGCCACCAGCCAGGCTTTGAAGCTGCAAGGCCATTAAATGCTAATCAAGGTGGACAATTGCAACATTCACACCTGCCTCAAGCAGACAAGAATTCTTTCTCCCATCTTGGACATTCCATAGATATATAAACCTCACTTGCCTAGTTTCTTACAGACCCCTCAACCTCTGTAGATGTCTGCCAAAAATGTGGGTGAAATGTCAGGAGAGAATGCTTCTGGAACACTGCCATACAGTCTAGAAAACTCACAGCAACCCAATGATTCCAGCCATGGAAGCCGGACAACATTTTAAATTATTCTAGAAGTCACCATATGGTTGTGCTGTGAGTATTCCAAGTTGAAACATAAAATGGACTATAAAAGCACCATGAAGACATGTCAGTCAATAGAAAAACGTGTAGAAAGTGTAGCCAATCGAGTAGTGATTCTAGATTAAAGACAATGCACTATGCTAAAAATCGCTACAAACAAAATGAAAGGTCTCTGATAGTCTGTTTCCAAAATTCTTCCATCGATTTGTTTATTTCAAATCAACACAAAAATATAGTTTTCTTATATTTTGCAATTTCTGGATGTGGAGCGTCTCTTCTCTCTGCCCTTTGTAAATCCTGGTTTGTTTTGCCCTCTCATACTCTCCCTTTTGATCTTGTTCTCTTCTTTTCATTCTCTGAACTGATCTCTGTTCAAATCCACCTTTTTCTTGGCCTAAATGCTCTCAGGTCCCTGGCTGTTTTTGAACTCACACCTGCCTGGTCTCTTCCTCTTGTCTAACCCATATTCTTTCATCTGTAGGAATGTGATTGCTGTAAGGTAGACACTTTCAAGGACAGTGACCGAACTGATAGAAACCACAGGATCAAAGAGTTGGAAGAGACCACAAGGGCCATCTAGTCCAAGCCCTTGCCATGCAGCAACACACAACAAAGCAATTTCAACAGATGGCCATTCAGCCTCTGCTTCAAAAAGAAGGCCTCAAGAGAAGGAGGCCTTTAGGATTAGAGCAGCTAGGCAATGGTGGTCTAGGTCTTCCATAGCTAGATTACCGAATCAGTAATTTTCTAGATTACATATAGATTCCTCATTCAAAAATTTGCACTGTTCAGTTTGGATTCTTTTCCTCACCTGCGTACTGAGGTTGGAGATAGAAAAGCCGGGCAAAGCATAGCCTTTGCATCTCACCTGGAGACAGAATATCATACCTGCAACAAAGCAAGAAGAAAAACAATATTTTGGTCCAGTTATAGCTCCAGATTTACTCACAAGTCCCACAGCATACTGATCAGAAAGAGATCTTACCAGTTCCAGTCCACTGGTTGGTCCAAACCTCCCGTTCTCAACAACAGGTCAGACTGCATTAAACATAGAAAACAACAAAAAAGAAAACTAAACTGTTTCAGTCAACACCCTTTTAAGATATATGTAAAAATGTAAAGCCTTGATCCTTCCTCACCATTCCCACTTTTAGGTCAGGGTATCTCTACCTACAATCTCCTATATACTCTTTTGTCATCTGATCATCGCTACAATGATTATCATTATCATTATCAGGGCATGCTTTGAACTTAGTTCCAAACCAGATATCGGCACTATTACTAGTTATAAATAGTAATTGTAATGTTCCACTATATAACAATGAACATGCTTAGAGTTTAATTAATCTTTTTGCTCACTGAGCCCACTCTACTTATTTGGAATGGCAGGAAAAGGTTCCCAGGTCAGGCAATGGAACACACGCTCATGATTTAGTTTATCTCCTTTTTCAGGGGGAATTAACCATTGACGTTAACAGTGCTTCCCACAAGCATTTATTAGCTACCTTAGTCTCAAAACTGAAGGAAGAATAAACACAATATTCCCATTTACCTTCCTATCCCTTCTAATCACTCACCAGTCCAGTCAGTTCCAGGAATCTCAGTATCCTTTCATCATCTGCAGACCCTATTATGCAATAAATGACATTCATGATAATGAAAATGTGGAGGCTGCATCTTCCAGGGCTATATCACTATGATACTGGATCATTATCATTTACCTGAATCTGGATAGATTTCCTTCAAGGGGTATATCACCTAAATTGGAGCAAACCAGACAAATTCCAAATGAGAATAATTCGTATCATATAAATGAGGAAGAGAACAGTCAACCACAATACTTGCCTGTTTAGGGCCCCTGGATAACATACATTGGGCCTTGATCTCTCTGTGGTGGAATATATTTGAAGACTGGATATTTTGCTGCTACAGCATTGGGAACAACTACCTGGTGGCCAGCGAGATGTCTAACTATCCTTGAGTCTTGCAATAAGTTAACCTACCTGTTCTCGCAGGGTCCCATCTGTGAAAAAAGGCCGCTGTGGCAAGATCACCATTCCATGGGGGCCAAAGCAAGTTAGCATGTGGACATTCCCTGCAAAGATGCAACCGAAACAATCATAGTAAACTTGATAGAATCATAGAATAATATAGTTGGAAGAGACCACATGGGCCATCAAGTCCAACCCCCTGCCATACAGGAAAAGCACAATCAAAGTAACCCCAACAGATAGCCATCCAGTCTCTGTTTAAAAGCCTCAAAAGAAGGAGCTTCCACTACAGACCAAGGCAGAGAGTTCCATTGTTGAACAACTCTCACAGTCAAGAGGTTCTTCCTAACGTTTAGGTAGCATCTCTTTTCCTGTAATTTGAACCCATTGCTCATTGGTGAACACTCTTTAGGTTTGGTCATTTAATCATTTACAAATCCACCTCAGAGTAGTATTGTCTAGCCCACATTTTACTAGTTTGTTTTCACGAAAATCATGGAGGCCCCTGTCAAAGGCTTGACTGAAATAGCACTCCTTGCTTGGTAGATGCAGAAATATGACCTAATATGATGAGAGAAGCCTCCCAAAGGATGGTAACACATCCGGGCATCCCCAGGGCAACATCTCTGCAGGCGGCCAATTCTCTCACACTAGAAGTGACTTGTTTCTCAAGTAACTTCTGACATGATGAAAAAAAATCATATTGGAAACTTAGAAGAAGCGTTGACATGGCAAGGGATCATCAAATTCTTCACCAAGTCTAAATGGGGCAAGGGAAGGCCTGACTGCTGAACAAAGAACATAAATAAGAACTCGTCTTCCAGCAGGAATTCTGCACAAAGAGTCTCACTAGTTGAAACCCAACCTTTGCCCACCAGCCCACAACAAACAGAAGCTGATGGTACTCACCCTGTTGGCTGTTCCAGAGGCCTCCAAGGACACGCAGTAAAGAGGACTTCCCTGTGCCAGTGTTGCCAGTAATTAGCAGACTGTTCCCTTGTGTGACTCTCAGATTCATGTCCTTGATGAGCAGCTTTTGTGAAGGAGCTGAGATAGAGACATGCTCCAGGACGAAGGCAGTATCACTGGGGTTCATCTTATCTTTGGAAACACTAACAGAATCCAGAAAAAGAAGATAACAAGTAAGCAGAAGAAATGAGAAACAGACAATGTTTAGAGGAACCTCTCCAAACTTCAGGCCCTCAATAGATTTTGGTCCTTCTTAATCTTGGAACTTTCCAGGGTTGTTGTGAAGGACTCAACTCTTTTCCCTAAACAACAGGGAGAGGGATAGTTAAAATGAAGTATGCATCTGAGCTGTAAAGAGATCTCTCTAAGGATAGTCCTATTACTCCAGAAGAAAAGTGAAAGTGTTCAGCTTAGATATCTCCCCATTTCCAATATTTTGGGTTGGGGAAACACAAACACAGGCCAAAAATATACAGGGTATCCCATACCTAATGCAAACTTTTATCGCACATTAGGTGTTTGTGATAGAAAATGCCATTGTTACTATTGGAGCAGATGATGCCACACAAATGTGTGCTTTTTTTTTAAAAAAAACTTATTTTATGATGTTCATATTTATTATTGATGTATTTGTATGATTGCAAGATGTTGTAGGCCACTTTGGGTCCCATGAGGGAGAAAAGCAGGGTATAAGTAAAGAATTATTATTGGGGTAGCCAGCCATGAGTTTTCCAGGCTGTACGGCCATGTTCCAGAAGCATTCTCTCCTGACGTTTCACCCATATATATGGCAGGCATCCTCAGAGGTTGCAAGGTTTGTTGGAAACTAGGCAAGAGAGGTTTATATATTTGTGAAATGTCCAAGGTGGGAGAAAGAACTCTTGTCTGCTTGAGGCACGTATGAATGTTGCAATTGATCACTTTGATTGGCATTTGATGGCCTTGTAGATTCAAAGCCTGGCTGATTGTGGCCTGGGGAAATTCTTTGTTGGGAGGTGTTAACTGGCCCTATTTTATTCTTGTCTGGAATTCCCATGTTTTTTTAATGTTGCTCTTTATTTACTGTACTGATTTTAGAGGTTTTTTAAAATGCTGGTAGAAGATTTTGTTAATTTATTATTATTCATATTTATTTATCTATTTACTATATTTTTAACCTGCTCTATCTCACCCTGAGGGGGGACTCAGAGCAGCTTACAGTTTGGAAAAATTCAATGCCACATTATACACCAGAAAAAAATACATAACATAATTAACTAAAAATCAATAAACATATAAATATGAATTAAAACCATTAAACATATTAAACATATCAAAATATCATAACTTTTGCTACTCACCTGTTGAAATCCCATTTGGCCTGCAATTCACAGTCATTTTGTTTCTTGGATAGTTTCAGCAGCATTTCCTGCAGTTCCCCAATTCTTCAAAAATCATTAAATGAGGGGAAAACAAGATGGAAGGAGACAGAAATGTTTATTTCTTGAATAAACATCTGTAGTGATTTATTTTTTAAATTCTCAAAGCAATTTTTACTCCCAAAGCATATTTTATATTCAAAGCAAAGAGTGGTGGTAGTTCAACATTGATTAAAACATACAAATAGTAGATAACATTGTTCATACAGTTATAATGTATACCTGAAATAGGTATCCAGCTAGATATAAATGGAGCATAGGCCAAGGCACTAGCCAGCTGAAGCTAACAGTTCAAAGAGGAATAATTCAGATTTTCATTTCTGTTTCTGCCTTAAAAGTTCACTCCTTTATACCTGAACAGAAGAGATGTGCTTTCTTGTCTGTTTCTTCACAAAAGCTTGTTTGATTCTTTTCAAAAGATACTTTAAAAGCCTAAGATACGGCAAGTGTAGTGGAATTCAAAGATTCTTGTGAACCCTAGTGACCTCTAAAAGATTCATGAAAAGCAGGGGCTTCATGTGTTCCGCAGGAATTCAAAATAAAGGTCCTTGCCATCATAATACTGCTTTTCAAGCAGCTCACAGACAAGAGGACTCACCTGTGTGTGTACCCAGCAACATCCGACACGGTGGTGGAGAGATCGATGAGCTGACTAAAGCAACCAATCAGGTAAATAGAGACAAAGGCATTCTGTAAGGTGAAGAAGACCAAAAATATTTCAGAGACTTAAGTGAGGTTTAGGAAAGCAAGACAAGGAGGACAAGAGGTGTTGAACCTTGCTCACCTTGTTGCTATTCAATGAGCTAGATGAACAACTTTCATCTCCTTGGCTAAAAGACTCAGCTGTGCCCATAAACCCCAAATTCCACCCTGAGGAGATTCATATTGAAAAATTTTTAGGTCATCATTTTGCACAGACTTTGCAAACTGTATTCACAGAATTTTGGTCAAGACAGAACACTAGAGAGTATAATCATGGAAAGTGAGAAGAGAGATAGATGAGCCTGTGGTGGGGAGAAAGCTTCTTAAGATCTTGATTTCAAAACTTTCATCAAATGCTGCCAATGATTTCCCTCTTCTTTCTTCCACATGACCTGGAAGACTTTCTTTTTTAAACATCAGAAGCGAATGGGTGTTCTCAGGATACTGAATCCAACATAAAGATAGCATTCCTTAATGTAGCACCCTTCAGATATACATGATTATAATTCCCATCATCCTACTTATTTTCTTTATGTATTTCTTGAGATTACAATTAGCTCGTGACATAAGAAAACACTAGAGTGCAAGGGGCTTTATTAAAAAATAGCTGCAGGGACTGGGCAGAATCTGTGATAGATTCCCAACCCATCTCCAAACCTGGATGAGCAGAGCTAGAATATGAAGTGAAGTGTTATCCAGTTGGGACAGAGTAAAAACTCAGCATCCGAAAGCAACCCTCGAGTCCCTTAGCAGGGTGTGAATTAATACACTCTTCCCCTTATTGTAAGGCCACTGTACAAAATTGTCTGTTAAAGCTGCCAAAGTAAGACATTCATCCCACTGACAGGCGGTTCTTTAGCACACATTGATCAGATTCCTCTAGGAAACTTACGCAGTTTTAAGTTGCATTATATGCATTATATGAATTTTTTGGATAACGCAAAACGGGAGAAGAGTTTTTCATGTAGATGCAATAATGCTCCCAGAATACAAAGTTATGGCCATGCTAGTCTGAAATACGCAAAGGGATCCTGTAGCATCTTAGGGCCTAAATGAGAGAATGAAGTTGATGACATAAGCTTTTGTAGATTAAATCTAGTTTTTCAGACGTAGCTTAGTCTACAAAGGTTTGTTCTACCAACTTGTCTCTCAGTCTCTAAGATGCTACAAGACCTCTTTGTACTGAGAATACTACGTCAATGTCCACCCAGAATAGTATGTTGGGAGTACTTTGATTGGTGTTCCCGCATGGCAGGGGGTGGACTGGATGGCCCTTGTGGCCTCTTCCAACTCAACTCTATTATGTTGGCTGCTATTGTTTTATATTATTGTTTCTGCAATGTTTGTATTTTGCATGTTTGCACCTTTGAGTGCTTTGTGAGCTGCCCTGAGTCCCTCCAGGAGATGTTGGTGGGGTATAAATAAAGTTTATAATACGAGTCTATTACTGTGCACTTCCTTTATGCATTGTACAGTTATACATATTCACCATTTTTCATAAATTGTTCATACATTGCACTTCTGCAGTGTTCAATATAGGAATTGCATAGTTCTAATGTACTATAACTCCACCAGCAGACGTTTATGTTATGCTGAGATGATGCAGGAACTTGGCTAATGTTAATTTGGCAGCAAATGTAAGATTGGGATTAATTCTGCATAGAAACCCTTAACTAAAGAAAACTGCCCTGGTCTCTGCACTTGAAAGTACATGGCCTTCTAACAAAATGTTTTTGAAATGTAAACAAAATGGAGAGTTTAACAATAATGGAAGATCTCTCCCTTTCTCTCTCTCACCAAGCTAGCAAGCAACTTCAGTATTTTTCCCTGAGAGGAAGCTGCCCTTTTTCGCTCTAAAAAGCTTCTCTCTGCATAGTTACAGCTGCTAATCTTGTTATTTTTAGATCTATGTGATTAGTTTCAGGCAGTTTTAATATCTAAAGGAATTATGTAGGTTATGGCAGTCTCTCCATCAGAATTGACTTACATTGCCTCCTCCGTTTAGGGGAACGTGATCTCTGTCCCTCAACAGGTGAAGCAATAAATTTATCCTCTTGGCTATCTGATGACAAGCTTGTTTACCAAGCATATGCATCAGTCTCTCACTCATGCAACATGCCTCCATACACATGTTGGTCTTATTTTGGGCCCCTTTTACAAAGCAAGAGTATCCCTAAAAAGCAGAGCAATATTTCCCATGAAGCAGCTCTATGATAGGCATTAGTAGTACTTGAGTTGCGACTTTTCTGTAACAAAATTCGTCTCTTTTATGTGGATGTTGTGGGTTGGATTATTTTCTGGAGCTGGGCAATGTGTGGCTCTTCAGAAGATGTTATGCTACAGCTGCAGCCCACTTCCCCAACCTGCACAAATAATGCCAAGGGATCGAGGGCTGCAGCACAAAAACACATTCTCCACCCACATTGTATAGAGTGGTATGGGAGAGGCTGGTCCAGCCTTTGGACAAATGTTGGACTGAGTTGCTTGCAATAATTTTCAATCTGATGAGAAGCATCATGGTATGAACCCATAATGCTTTTAATGGTTATGCAGAGCAGTAGCAACATTATGGAGGCCATTTTCTCCATAGAGGTAATACTAAGTGCCTTCAAGTCATTTTTGACTTGTGTTGATCCTAAGGCAAGCTTTAGATTTGTTCAGAGGGAGGTTGCCATTGCCTTTTCAGAAACTGAAAGAGTGTGAGAAACTGTGACTTGCTCAAGGGTTGGGTTTCCATGGCTAAGAGGGGATCTGAACTTTGATCTCCACAGTATAAATCTCTGTGTTCTAAGGGAGGGAGGAGTCAGCATCCTGGGAATCTCAGCTCTCTTTACAGCAGTAGTTCTCAACCTTTGGTCTCCCAGGTGTTTTGGACTTCAGCTCCCACAAATCTGAACAGCTGGTAAGCTAGTTTGGATTTCTGGGAGTTGAAGTTCAAACTACCTGGAGGACCAAAGGTTGGGAAACATTGCTTCAAAAGCAAAAGAAAACAAACAAACTGACCTCTGATAACCTAAAGTAAAGGTAAAGGTTTTCTCCTGATATTAAGACCAGTAGTGTCTGATTCTGGGGGTTGGTGCTCATCTCAATTTCTCAGCCGAAGAGCCGGGGTTGTCCATAGACACCTTCAATGCCATGTGGCCGGCATGACTGCATGGAGCACCGTTACCTTCCTGCCGGATCGGTACCTATTGATCTACTTATATTTGCATGTTTTCGAACTGCTAGGTTGGTAGAAGCTGGAGCTAACAGCGGAAGCTCATGCCCCTCCCCAGATTCGAACCTGCGACCTTTCGGTCAACAAGCTCAGCAGCTCAGTGGTTTAACCCACTGTGCTACTGGGGGCTCTACAAGACATAGAAAATTATAGAAGGTAGAAATTATTCTGAACAGATTTTCAGTGGTCATAACATCCATTCTACACTAAATATTTTCATCAGGGCTAGGGAATTTCTGCCTGTCCAGGTTTTTAGACCCCTTCACTATTCCCAAAACTTCTTCACTACTGGTCTTGCTGACAGAGGCACATGTGGATTGAAGCTGTGGTCCTCTAGACGTTTTTTGCCAAACTCTGTAGTACTAACTAGAATCACCAGTGGTTAGGGATGAAGGGAATGTCAGTCGAGAAAACACATGGAGTGCTGTAGTTAGTTACTCAACCTTGTAATATAAGAAATCTTTTCAGATTGTTTGCTTTATTCAGTAGTTGCTACAGAAATCCCAGGCAGCTAGAAAAGGCAAAAAGTGCCATAATAAACACAAAACAGCACCAGCCTCCCATCTCCTGAGGAAAAAACTCACCTTGCTAACCAAGGAGCTCAGTTCTGCTGGATCTAGGTCATTGTAGATGCCACTAAATATGGGAATGGCAATCACCACATAACTCAGGATGCTTCCCAGATAGTCAAAGGTGTTGATTCCAACTGAGCAGAAACACATGAATATGAGCCAGTCAGTAACTGGAGCTTACACTCAATAACGGGGCTAAGATCTCATCATACTACATTCTTAGGATTTATTTATTTATAGTATTTATATACCGCTTTTCTCACCCATGGGGGGACTCAAAGCAGTTTACAAAAATAATGGCAAAATCCAATGCCTTGTGTACATAAACCAAATCATAAATTTGGAGTCAGCTGCATTAAAATCACTACTGACCGAAAGGTCATGAGTTCAAAGCCAGCCCGGGTCATAGTAAGCTCCCGACCATTTGTCTAACTTGCTGTTGACTTTTGCAGCCTGAAAGACAGTTGCATCTGTCAAGTAGGAAATTTAGGTACCGCTTATGTGGGGAGGCTAATTTAACTAATTTATGACACCATAAAAAGCAGCATGCAAAAGAATGAAGAAGTATTCCATTGGTGTCACAAGTGGATGGTGAAGCGACCGTTCTCCCGGTGAGAGGAATTCGAAGCATACCCTCATGAAGTTGGAAAGTTAAATAGCCTCTGTGTCTGTCTATATATGTTGTGTGTCTATGGTATTGAATGTTTGCTATGTATATGTGCATTGTGATCCACCCTGTGTCCTCTGTGGGGTGAGAAGGGTGGAATATAAATACTGTAAATAAGTAATAAATAATAAATATAAATCAAACAACATATGACTAAGCATAAAATACAATAGGACAAAATCATAAAATAATAGGACATTTAAACTTGAAGTATAAAATTAAAAACACCTAATAAAACATTAAAATCAAATTATCCAAACTCATTGACCAGGCCATTCCAGAAGTTAATTACACATATTTCATATTTACTTCTTGTACTGAGTTACTTTACTAGTCAAAAGCTTGATTCCTTGACCATGTCTTTGTTCTCTTTCTAAAGGCAGGCATGAAAACAAGAACCTTTGTAGAAAGAGATCATGTTCTATTCATTATTTTTATTTTATTTAGAAGACATTTTGTTCCAGAAAAGTCAACTAAGGCACAGTAAGTCTATAAAAAACCTGATCGTGATAGAGACTGAAACTGCTAGAAATGGTTTGAACAGCTGTCTGTGGATTAAGGAAAAAATTGTGTTCTTACTGTATAGCAGTAGCTCCTTGCCTATCAGTTCCCTTTGAGTTTGCAGAAGGTTTTGTAGCCTGCGATTAGTTCTCATGTGCTCCACTTCACCAGCTCTGCAAATCAGCAGAAAACAGATAGTCTGAATAAGAAAAGTTAGATTCAGAATCCACTGAACAAGATACGAGGGTGAGCATCAAAAGGTTGCAGAAAATGAGGGTAGGTGGTTACATGAGCCTAGATTCTCTAAGGCTTAAAAGGGTGAAATAGTCTGTTGTACAATGAAGCTAAACCACATTTCAAATAGGAAATGTGTTATATGTGCTGAAATTCTACTACAATGATTTCCTTGAATGAGGGAAAAAAAACTGGGTTACTTTGAGATTTTTGGGCTGTATGGCCATGTTCCAGAAGCATTCTCTCCTTGACCAAAAGTCATCTAACCAGAATGAGATGTTGACTATAATGTGTATGCGTTGCTGTAAGTTTTCCAGACTGTATGGCCATGTTCCAGAAGCATTCTCTCCAGACGTTTCTCTCATATCTATGACAGGCATCCTAAGAGGTTGTGAGGTCTGTTGGAAACTAGGCAGGTGAGGTTTATATGTCGAGGGTGAAAGAAAGAACTCTTGTCTGCTTGAGGCAAGTGTGAATGTTGCAAATGGCTACATTGGTTAGCATTTAATTAGCCTTGTAGCTTCAAAGGCTGGCTGGTCAGGGGAGAATGCTTCTGGAACATGGCCATGCAGCCCTGAAAACTCACAGCAACCCAGTGATTCCAGCAATGAAAGCCTTTGACAACACAAAAGGAAAAAAGGCTATAAGGTCCCTCCTTTGATCAGAGAAATATCTAAACCAGGGGATATATGCTTGCCTTTTAGATATTTTGGCTGATAGCTGGTCTCCCTGTGTTCCAGATCAAAGGAATTCAAGGCTCTTAAAATTACTTTGAGTTTCTCTAGTGAGATACTCAATAACATGAGTGACCTCATGTGGCAAGATGTGTAATAGTACAAGACATGTATTGTATTTTGGTCTGCTGCTCACTTCTGTCCTCCTTCCTGTCTTTCTGTTGTTAAATCAAGTGCTTGCTGTTCACAAGCATTTTTTGCTATATGGCACACACACACAGTAGGTTCTTTGAGCTGAATAAATAAAAATAATAATGCACATCATCTATATCAGAGCTTCTCAAACCTTTTCCTCTGATGACTCTTTTCCACTTAAGATTTTTTTTGTGACTTGGGTATATAGATATATAAAATAGGTATAAAATCAAACATTTACAGATAATAAATCATTTCTGTAAGGCTTGCTAAATAGTCAGGTTTGCAGCTGAAGCAATTTATGCAGAATCCACTGTAAATACTGAACTCTGTGGTTAACAGATTTGTGTAAATGGATGGAATTCAGAAACCTTTCATTGTTGCCAAATTTTTCGTTACCCCAACATTGAGCTAACAGTATTAAAAAAACTCTATAATCAGGACAGTAAATAAAGAGCAACACTAAAAAAACAGGGGACTTGCAGGCCAGAAACAATCAGAGCCAGCTAACACCAGCCAACAAAGGATCCCTAGGCAAGAACTAACCAGGCTTTGAAGCTACAAGGCTATTTAATGCTAATCAAGATGGCTAATTGCAACATTCACACGTGTTTCAAGCAGACAAGAGTTCTTTCTCCCACCCTGGACCTTCCACAGATATATAAACCTCACAACTTCTGAGGGTGCCTGCCATAGATGTGGGTGAAATGTCAGGAGAGAATGCTTTTGGAACTTGACCATACAGCCTGGAAAACACACAGCAACCCAGTGAGCTAAGAGGTTGGAACCACAGTTTAAGAGGCAGTGATATAGATATACACATACAGAGAGACAGTGACAGCAGGATGATAATGGCTATATTTCCATAGTGTTCAGAAGTATTTGGGTCTCTGGAATGAAATGATGGGAGGACCCAAAACAAATGAAACAAACTATCTTCTGGTGAACTGGTATGTGCTCAGAAACAGTTAAAACAAAATTGCTAATTTGGAACAGTGTGAGGATTCTGTCTGTCCCTCTGCTGCCACCACCTGGTAGGCAAAGGCAAAAAATAAAATAAAGAAAGCAAAACAAGTAAACAACACTAGTGTATATTTTCTCCTTTGCCTTTTAGAGATGTTCCAAGAAAATAGAAAGAACCACTTTACCTGTAGAAAGCAGCAGATTCAGCATTCACCCGTAACTGCATATGCTTAAACCTATGGAAGGCACAGAAAAGTTCTGATTCTTAAGGGAGCACCATTACATCGCAGTCACTTCTAGGCCTATTTCACATCACACATTTTTCGAACTAGGATTCCTCTTTAAAACTTGTAGGTATTTAATATTGCAATAAACCTAAATGTTAGTCTATTATCCATCCTACTGTTAATATATATTAAATTATATATATTAAAGCACAAAAATTACTTTCTACATTGCAGGGGTTGGACTGGATGGCCCTATCTTCCAACTCTTTGATTCAATTATTATATTAACCTTTGTTCCAAACCCCTATCCATGGGTCGTATCAAAATCCAAAGTTTTGTTCCCAAACCTGCTGTTGACTTATACATGAAGTCAACTTATCCATACTGGAGACAGAAAGCAAAAGTGTAACCGTGTCTTGATCACCCATCCCTCTTGTCTGGAATGGTCTTACCCAACTGTTATCCACCCAGGTTGCATGATTTTCTCAAGAAGTCTTGTTCCATAACCCTTCCCAATATAAGCCACTACCAACACTAAAGAATTGGGACATGCAACACCAGACTGTGGTTGTTGCACAGTAATGGACTCCAGGGTCAAAGATCTGCTTAATACACTCACCTGAAATTACCTTCCAGCTTCTCTTGTTGCACCAGTTTTGAAACAATGGGGCTCATCAAGATCTTGTTGACAATGGTCCCAATGAAAAAATAACCAAAGATGCTCACTGGACCCATCCAGCCAGTGCTAAGAAGGAGAAATAGAATGACATTACCAAATCTGTCTAAAAAAGTTACTTTATCAGTCAATTGAATGATAATCCCTGCTATCTTCTAGGTAGGAAAAATATTGTGATGTTCTTTGTGATAACATTTAGGTGTCAAATGGTGTGCTATTTATTAGGTAACTTCTGAGAGGTCTAGGGAACATGGGCAACCCATGAATCCGCTGGGAGCTGCATCATCCTCAGTGCCAAATGTGTTACTGTAGCAGTAAAAAGGGATGTTTTGCCTTCTTTTCCTTCAAGCAATGCTGGTTTAAAAGGGAAAAGGATGCTTTAAACAGGAAACAGTATTTTGACAAATTCAGCAGCTGCAGATAATCCCTGCAGGGCCACAAAAACACAGAAACAACAGCTTACTCTTCAGCTGCAGGATAATAAGTACCAAGCTTTACAAAGCAGAAATTGCAACAATGACATGGACCTTATTACTCAGTTGCTGTTCTGTCAAATTGTAGCGTACCCATATGTAGCTGTTTTTGGAAGTCAGCAAACTGTTAAAACGGGACTGAATTCCAAAGCTGGAGAAGATGTGACAAACACAACAATGATGGATATTGATCTGGGCTTGTTGAATTGTTAGAGCAGAGTTTCTCAAACTGTGCTCCTCCAGGCGTTTTGGACTTCCAAATCCCAGAATTCCTATCAGATGGTAAACTGGCTGGGATTTCTGGGAGTTGAAATCTAAAATACCTCGAGAAGGAGTTGGAAAAACACTGTGTTAGAGAAATAGCCATTGCCTTTCTTACACTTTCCTGTACTAGCCTTGGATACAAAAGCCCTGCTCGTCATACCTTTTGCACTCCCTCCTCAGTCCGTCCTTTCTAGGTGACCTCTCTCACCCTAGTACACCCCTATAAGTGGCACTACTTTACAACGTATCTTATCTACAGTGTTTGAATTGGGGGGGAAAGAGAAATCCATCTTCCAGGTACACACACAGGAGGGAGGGGGGACTTGTGGGCATTCAGATGTTGCCAGAAAACAGTTCCAGAATACACAGAATACACAGCTGTTGGCTTTGACTTGCTGGAACTGTTGGGAATGGAACTCCATAACATCGAGAGTCTCATCGATTCCTGCAGGCCTGATCTAGTCTTTCATACTCTTCATGCTGTTATTGTTAATCCATTTACAAAAGAATACTGTATATACTCCAGTATAAGCCTAGTTTTTCAGCACATTTTTATGCTGAAAAAGGCTCTCTCAGATTATACTCGAGTGAGGGGCTGAAAGAAGCCCTTTGCAGGGCTTCTACCATCTGCGTGCCTGCTCCCCCTTTGGCACAGCAACCCAGCCAGATCTCTGTGGTGAGAGAAGAAGGGAAGCTGTATACCTTAATTAATGTAATTGTATTGGTATCTATTCTTATTTTGAAATTTACCAGTAGCTGCTGCAATTCTCACCTTAGCCTTATATTAAAGGTAAAGGTTTTCCCCTAACATTAAGTCCAATCATGTCTGACTCTGGGGGTTGGTGCCCATCTCCATTTCTAAGCCGAAAAGCCAGAGTTGTCCGTAGACGCCTCCAAGGTCATGTGGCCAGCATGACTGCATGGAGTGCTGTTACCTTCCCACCAGAGCGGTACCTATTGATGTACTTACATTTGCATATTTCCGACCTGCTAGGTTGACAGAAGCTGGGACTAACAGCGGGAGCTCATGCCGCTCCCCGGATTTGAACCTGCAACCTTTCAGCCTGCAAGTTCAGCATCTCAGTGCTTTAACCTACTGTCCCACCGGGGGCTCCTTAGGCTTATACTCAAGTCAATAAGTTTTCCAAGTTTTTCATGGTAAAATTAGGTGCCTCGGCTTATATTCGTGTCGGCTAATACTTGAGAATACACAGTATATCTACAGAGTCCTTTTTGCTGGCTCACCCTTCAGCTTGACATAAAGCCTCAGGGGATATTTAAATGCCTGGAACCCCTAGAGATCCACTCCCCAATTTGCATTACTAAAAGAAAATCAAGTGCCTTTAAGTTGTTATTGTTGTATTGATATCCCATCCTTATCTCAGTTTGGGACTCAAAGTGGGTCACAACATTTAAAACAAATATAATTAAGGTACACACTATACAAAAGTAAAAAAATAATTAAACTGCAATAAAATTAAAACCAGATTAAAACATCACAATTAAATGGCAATAGAAGTCCAGCATTGCTTTCTCTAAAAAAATCAGCTAAGGCCTGCCAGAACAAAAAGGCTTTTTAGTTGCTTGCAGAAACAGTGTTTAAAAAAATATAAAGTCACCTCCCCCATTTTTTTACATTGCTACATCCTGAAAATTAAAAATAAGTTTTTTCCCAAATCATGACAAAGTTGGACATCTGATTTCATTTTCAAGGGTTGGTTGTTTCACAATATGTCCTAAGGATGAAACCTTGACCTCCAAATCCATGCTTGCCCTGAATTAAGACTGTTCTTACCTGTAAAAGCACTGATAGGTGTAGTAAGCAAGTGTGAAGGGTGAGACAACCAGCTTACTGGCCATAGAGCTCAATTGTTTGCAGAATCTCTCCACATCCTGACTGATTCGTTGGTCTCTGCAGAATAAAGATAACATCTAAACTAGTATGCAGCACTATGGCAGGAACAGCAAAACAAAATTTAATGTTAGCAACAGCAGAGTTCTTCAACAGAGCGGGACAATCTGTTCCTTTTGGAGCTGGTGAAATGTGGTTCCTTTAAATCAGCAAACCACTCTTGAACCACAATATGGCTCCTGGCAATTCCCTTCTTTTGAAACACCATTGCAGAACAGAAACCACACTGATATTTCATACTGGGATTGTGCAATAGCTATTAGAATGTGGAAGGGTGGGTGCTTTGTTTTGTAATTTGTATATGTATGTGAATGGGGATATCATTTAATTTTGTTGTACGATGTACAATGACAATAAAGTTATTCTATTCTATTCTATATCCTGGCTGCATGGACATAGACTTTAAAAGGAACCCTTTAGGGGGCAATTTGCAAAACATACTGGTTACTACAAATTATAAAAAGAAAAAGGATAAACCTTCCTTTCATTAAGATCTTGTATCTAACAGAAATGTTCTGCTTTTGTGGACTTTAAGTTGCAAGGAGAAATCAGAACTTGTAAATGCAAGTAAGAACTTGCAGCAGATTAATATTTGTCAACATTTTGTTGATGTGAACACAGTGCTCCAAAATGTGCTATCTAACTGATAAATTGAAATCCTCCTCTAAGACAGTGTTTCTCAACCTTCCTAATGCCATGACCCCTTAATATAGTTCCTCATGTTGTGCTGACCCCCATTATTTTTGTTGCTACGTCATAACTGTAATTTTGCTACTATTATAATCTTAATGTAACGATCTGATATGCAGGATGTATTTTCATTCACTGGACCAAATTTGACACAAATACCTGATACCAGGCCTGTAGAAGGGGGGGGGGGGGCTTAGGGGTTCAACCCCCCTCCCCGAAATTTTTCAAGTTAAAAAAAAAACCTGGTTTACTCATGAATTTTAACTGGTTAACCAAATCCCCATGCTAAGTCTATGAGACGCAAAAAATTAAGAGTCCCTCCTGAACTGCAAGCACTATCTCAAGCAAATATTGACAATTTATTCACACTGTCATTACTTGCAGCAATAGCCGATGTAGCGTAGCGAAGCAACCAAGTTGGGCGGGGGGGGGGTGTGAGGTGTTGAATGCTCTCATTAAGGAGGCCAGACTTGGTGGAGGTGGTTGACAGGGGCGGAGCTGCAGGCTACTGAAGGCTGCTCTGCCCCCTGCTGTGCTCTTTGCTTCAGCGTGACCCTAACCCCCCCCCCCCAAATTTTCAACCCTCCCCCAAAAAAAGTTTCTGGCTACAGCCCTGCCTGATATGCTCAAATCTGAATATTGGTGGAGTTGGAGGATTAATTCTGTCATCTTGGAGTTGTAGTTGCTGTCATTTATAGTTAACCTACTATCAAAGAGCATTCTGAACTCCACCAATGATGGAATTGAACCAAACTTGGCACACAGAACTCCCATGACCAACATAAAATACTGAAAGGGTTTGGTGGGCAATTGACCTTGAGTTTGGGAATTGTAGTTCACCTACATCCAGAGAGTACTGCGGGCTCAAACAATGATGGATCTGGGCCAAATTTGGCACGGATACTCAATATGCTCAAATGTGAACACTGGTGGAGTTTCGGGAAAATAAACTTGACATTTGGGAGTTGTAGTTGCTGGGATTCATACTTCACCTACAATCAAAGAGCATTCTGAAACCCACCAATGATAGAATTGGGCCAAACTTCCCAGACAGAACCTCCATGACCAACAGAAACTACTGTGCTTTCTGATGGTCTTTGGTGACCTCTCTGGCACCCCCTCATGACCCCCAGGTTGAGAAACCCTGCTCTAAGACAAACTCTATTAGTGTTTAATTTGTCCTCCTCAGTTAATAGAACTGTCATATATACAAATCAAATCCTTGATGTTGTATTTTATACTTTAATTTTAAATATATTGTCCAGATCCCAGAGCACAAAGTGGGAAAAATCCTAGTGTTGGTCCCAACTAGAGTAGACCTATTGAATTAATAGGACTGAATAATTTACTGACTCACCTTCCAATAATTGAGTCAACAGGCCTTCTCTAGCCAGAACTAACCACTAGGCTTTAGGCACATATGTGATGAAAACTCAATTCAACTACAGTCCTTCTGATACCTAGAGGGTGATAATCATTTACATACGAGCACTGCAAGCTAAGCCCTATGAGTCATGGAGGAAGGTAAGATGGAGTCCACACATGTTTGAAAGGAATAGGAACATAACAGAAGATATTCAGCCACTTACGGGTTATCAATTTCCTCATGCACAATATTCAATGTGTAATACACCTGGCCCTGGAAGTAGTAGCCATGGAGGTATTCCGTGAGGGTCTTCCTCCAACTCACATACATCAAGTTGCAGATAAACTGGTCAAAGCTCTTTAACTGAGAAGGGCAGGAAGATGAAAGAGAGGGACAGTAGTGAGACTCAAAAATGAGAGAGATTAAAAACAGAGATTACCTGACAGCAAAAATATTCAGCAGAGGCATTCTGCACTCAATGGTTGCATTTGGTGAAGGAGTTCTAGAGGATTGAGATCTAAACCATGCTTTTAAAACTTTTTCCACTTGCAACCCCTGAGAATGTTTTATGTGATCCCAGGTATATAGGTATGCAAGATAGGTATAACAATCAAGCATTTATTGAAAACCAATCAGCATTTGCTAATCTTACTAAACAGGGCAATTTTCCTTTTTGTGGACAACAACCAAAGCAGCTTCTTCAGAGTACACTGTAAACACTGCACATTGTTGCTAACAATGCCTTCAAACTACAAGAAAGGAAATTCCATCTGAACATGAGGAAGAACTTCCTGACTGTGAGAGCCGTTCAGCAGTGGAACTCTCTGTCCCGGAGTGTGGTGGAGGCTCCTTCTTTGGAAGCTTTTAAACAGAGGCTGGATGGGTGATTTGAATGCAATATTCCTGCTTCTTGGCAGGGGGTTGGACTGGATGGCCCATGAGGTCTCTTCCAACTCTTTGATTCTATGATTCTATGCTTTGGTTGAAGTCCACAAAAAGGAAAATCGCCCCGTTTAGCAAGATTGCTAACAGGTTTGCATTCAGAAACCTTGTGTTCAGAGTAAAATAATAAATAAACTTGATTCGAGTATAAGCCGAGGGGGGCTTTTTCAGCCTAAAAAAGGACTGAAAAACTGGGCTTATACTCGTATATATGGTATATATTGCTATAAGAAGAGGGCTCCCTTACCATAGAGTTCAATACAATGAGCATCAGAGCAAGTATGGTTATTTTTTGGAATCCAGAGAAGTCTTTGCTCCCCAGAACCCCATAATACTGGCTGGGGATCAGCCCCACTTGGTAAATGATCAGCTGCTCTACGGGAGAGAAGAAAGACACATAAAAGGATGAGTGGTTAGAAAGGTCTGGGGTAAAAGAAGTCAAATCAAGGATCATGACAGAAGGAAACTCATTTACCCAAAAGGGCAACTCCCAGCAAGGTTAGGAACATCAGGGTATTCTTGGAGGAGCATGTAGAAAATAAAATTTTCTGGATCTTTAAAAAACGTCGGAGAAATTGCCGGTCTAGCCGGGGTCGGGGCCTGGAAGAGATGGATACAAGATGAGTAGGAGGTAATGCAAGCAAACATCAAACCCTACACAGCAATGCCTTTCAAGGTAGTTGTCTAAATAGACAACTATCTTGAAAGAGAAACTAAATAAAATTACAAAATAGTCTCCTCTTGAAGAGGAAATGTAGCAGGAGGGTTTAATTCTAACACAGCCACATTCATGAAAGATTCATACTTGATAAAAAAATATTGTCAGAAGGCTGAAATATAGCTTCTGCTGGAAAGATACCAATGTGCTATAAAAAGAGAAGCATATGGGCCTTAATTTCACACTCAGGAGCAATTTGAGGTTAGATGCACACACAAAAAGAAATGTGACATTCCAACAATTAAATCTGTGTCCCAATTCCCTACCTATTGCCTTGCACATGGGGAAGTTGCCTTGCACATGAGGAATCATTTATCTAAACCTCTTTAAAGGCATATATGTCAATATATGTGATCTGGGCTTAGTACAGCAGGTTAAAGCATCAGCTGCAGAAAAATCTTGCCGATCGAAAGGTCGACAGTTCAAGACCAAGTTGGGATGAGATCCTGCTGTCAGCCCAGCTTCTGCTTACTTAGCAGTTTGCAAACAGCAACGTGAGTAGATAAATAGGTACTGCTTTGGTGAGGAGGTAAAAGGCACCCATGTGGTCATGCTGGCAATTTAGCACAGCTGATAAATCTCCAGAAATGATAAGATCTACCCACTGAAAGGTTGGCAGTTCGACCCGGGTCAGTATGAGCAACTGACTGTTAGCCCAGCTCATTGTTTACCTAAGCAGTTTGAAAACAGCTTGAGCTGTAAGTAAAGAAATTAGGTACCGCTAAAACAACCGGGGGAGGTATTTTATGACACCATAAAGAAAAAGATCAGAAAATGCCCAGCGACCAAAAGGAAGGAGGAAGTCCTGATGGCTCTACGTCAAAGAGGATGGAGTGACAGCACACCCCCCACCCACCCCCGGTGACTGTATTTGAGCACAACCCCTAAAGTGCGAAAAAGATGGACGTTGACACAACATACTTCCTTTCTGTTCTTTGTCCTGTCTATCCAAAACGACATTGAATGTTTGCCGTGTATATGTACTGTGACCTGCCCTGAGTCCCCTTGGGGAGATAGGGTGGAATATAAATAATAAAGTGTTATTATTATTATTATTTGATCAGGAGAATGCCTATGGACAATAAAGCTCCTCTGCATGGAAGATGGAGAGACAGCACCTCCCTGTGGTCAGAATTGAACACAGCCCCCTGATTCTAGAGATGGAAAAAAGATGGGAAGCCTTTATCTCTGTTTATGTACTGTCTGTCCTTGTTAATTGTACAGTGGCATTGAATGTTTGCCATATATGTGTACTGTAATCTGCCCTGAGTCCCTTAGGTTAGATAGGGAGGAATATAAATAAAATATATTATTATTACGACAATGATGATTATTATCATAATGCATAATTTCAACTTTCCAATTATTTCCTGAGGGAAAAATGAGAACTTGAACAAATTAAACTTAAAAACTGAATGTGGATTTTCCTCATGGAAAAAACAGAATGTGGATTTTCCTTAAAATTGATGATTGTGTTAAAGATATGGTATAGAATAAGATGGATAACTCATTTTATGGTGGGATCTTCCTGAGTACTATAATTTAAACCAGGTATGGCAAACTTCGGCCTTCCAGGTGTTGTGGACTTCAACTCCCACAATTCCTAACAGCTTCAGGCCCCTTCCTTTCCCCCCTCAGTCGCTTAAGCTTAAGCTTAAGCGGCTGAGGGGGGAAAGGAAAGGGCCTGAGGCTGTTAGGAATTGTGGGAGTTGAAGTCCAAAGCATCTGGAGGGCTGAAGTTTGCCCATGCCTAATTTAAACAGTGATATGTAGAGTCCACCAGCAATGCATGTCCTTCTCTGGAGAGATCTTCTATCTATCTGTCCTGATCTTTACTGTTAAAATTCTTCCTGGATGAAATAATGACTGACAACTTTATATCAAATAGTTCGCTCTTGGAGATTTTAGCTTTGTTTGGTGCTGTTTCCTGTGTTTTTGTGTGTGTGATTTAAGTCTCTTTGTTTTTATATTTTATTCTCTTTCTTTTTCTAATGACTATATATGATATTCTGATAAAGCACTGACTAAAGCTATTTAAAAGTGAACGTTTTGCAACCCAAAACTCTAGGGATAATTTCCTTCTACACCCTTCTTTTGCTCATTTCCTGTTTCCTTTTGCAAGAAAGCTGCAGCATCAGCATATGGAAAAATAACCCAAACAGATTTGCCAGCTGTCCTGACTTTGCTTAGCTATGACAGGAGAAGTGCTTCAGCTTTCTTTCCAGCTGCAGCAATAAGTAGGTTAGGATATTTCAAACTTTCAGCACCAAAAACAATGCTCAAGCTGTAAACCAAGAAGTATTGCTACTTTATGAAATCTCTTACAGTTTGCCATGATGAGTTCTCAGACCGTGCACATGTTTGTGCTCATTCAGTTGTCCTTATAAAGCAAGAATGTGTAAACTTTGGCCCTCCAAGTGTTTTGGACTTCAACTCCCACAATTCCTAACACCCTACCGACTGTTAGGAATTGTGGGAGTTGAAGTCCAAAACACCTGGAGGGCCAAAGTTTGCCCATGTCTGTTATAAATATATTAAACTAAATTGCAATATGGGTAATTTCATAATATCATAGAATTGGAAGAGACCTCAAGGGTTGTCCAGTTCAACTCTCTGCCAAGGAGGAACACACAATCAAAGCGCCTCCTACAGATGCCCATCCGGCCACATTTGTGATTTTGACTTTTGTGGATTTGGTTATTCATGGATCTGATAAAGAGTTCTCTAGGAATCTCTATCTCCCCTGTGCAATTCTGCAGACAACTTCCAATGTAAGTCAACCATAAAGCCATGCTGGAAAACCGAGAAATTTCTGGAGTAATGTTTGTTCTCTTGGGTAAATAAAACCTTGCAATTTCTTTATTCGCATGTTTAAATAATTTTATCGAGTCTTTTTGTTTGGCTTGGTATTGTGATGTGGCCTAAGGGCTATTCAATAAAATTGACCACTACCACCACAATAACTTTAATGTATCCAGAGGAGGGCGACTCAAAGGATCAAGGGTCTGGAGAACAAGCCCTATGAGGAGCGGCTTAAGAAGCTGGGCATGTTTAGCTTGAAGAAGAGAAGGCTGAGAGGAAACATCATGGGGGCCATGTATAAATATGTGAGAGGAAGTCATAGGGAAGAGGGAGCGAACTTGTTTTCTGCTGCCCTGGAGACTAATACATGGAGCAATGGCTTCAAACTACAAGAAAGGAGATTCCATCTGAACATTAGGAAGAACTTCCTGACTGTGAGAGCTGTTCAGCAGTGGAACTCTCTGCTCTAGAGTGTGGTGCAGGCTCCTTCTTGGGAGGCTTTTAAACAGAGGCTGGATGGCCGTCTGTCGGGGGTGCTTTGAATGCAATTTTCCTGCTTCTCGGCAGGGGGTTGGACTGGATGGCCCATGAGGTCTCTTCCAACTCTATGATTCTAGGATGATGACACTTGTGAAACTACAACTCCCAGGGATCCAGAGGCATTGAGACAAGGCGGTGTCAAACTGCATTAATTCTACAGTGTTGCTGCATTCTTAACCTGCTTCCTTGTTTTTTCCCCACAAGGAAGCGCCCCCTCCCCGGATCCCCTCCTTTTTTGGACCCCCAAAAGGCTCACCGGCCACCAAGCCCCGCCGCTGCTCGCCCAAGAGCCATGGTTGCAAACGGAGCCTACAGTCCGGACCAAAGGCCACCCCTCCCCTCCGCATTCCACAATCTCATTAATATTCATTACCTTTCTTGATTATTCATGAGCGCAAACTGCAGCTAAGCTTTCGGACCACTCTCAGGAAGGTATAGAGTCGGGACGGAGAGAAGGCCTCGAGGAGGATAGGCGGAGCCTGCTTGCAGATGAGGAATTGTAGTTTTGCAAGGTCTTTAGCCTCCCCTGCCCTGACTCACTCAAAAGGCCGAAAGAGGCCGCAATAGTGGGTAGAATAATGTCATTGTGGTGCTCTAACTCTATGGGTAAACCTACCCAACGTGAGGTTCTACAGAAAGGAAGAAGGGGCTATAGTCGCCACGGATTTAACCCATACTTCCGGTTCCCTGTTACAGCGCTTAACCTCCTCCATGTGCGTGGCAAGAGGGAGGCGTTGCTTGCAGCAGGAAGAAGCAGGGCATCTTTCACATTCTGTTTATGCACAAGAGAAATGACATTATACTTACTGCAGAGCCTGGAAAAAATATTTTTGAACTATAACTCAGAGGGAATATTTTCTTGCAGAGAAAACCCCTATCAAAGAGTGTGTTCAGGGTCACAGTTTCTCTCTGTTCCTCTCATTTTGCTTCTTCATCATTAGCTTCAAAGGGATGTCTGACTCTATACCAGTCTGTGCAAACTTTGGTCCTCCAGGTGTTTGGTCCTCCAGGTGTCTTTTTTGCTTTTAACTATGTCCTGGGTTTAATTCTGATATCGAGCTCTTTTGGGGGGCCTCCCAGGTGGGAGAGCCCAAGGACCGCGCCAAAGAGGGTCCTGGATACCTTGGCGAGATTTTTCCGGAAGCCAATCCAAGAGCGCAGAAAGTTATTAAAATCAAATAACCTCACCAGGCGAAAGGAGTCCAGCGACCGAGGCGTTTATTGCGATTCAGCTGATCGGATGCAATACAGGAATCTTTCCACTGCAGAGCATGTAGTACAAGAATTTTCAGGCATTTTTATACAGTGAGAGACAAAGGAAAAGCAGTTTGAAAATCCCGCCCGCCCCCCTGTCAGCCGGCATCCCGCTGATTGGCTGAGGCTGGAACAGCTGGGAGGAGGTAATCCCGCCCTCCCTCGTCAGGAGCCAATGGGAGCGTTCTTCTGCCTCGGGAGGGCCAATGGGCGCCCTCTGCTCGCTTCCTAGGTTCTGGCCAATCAGGAGCGAGGAGGCGTGACAGTCGCGGACAATGGGGGGAGAGATGATGGGATTTGGGATTTCCTGCCTGCTGGAATGCGGGCCATTGTCCCAGGTGATGTTTGTCAAACAAAGGCTTTCCTGTCCTTAATGGGTCTGGCAAGTGATATGAATAGCTGGGTCGAAATCGGACCGCCCGGAGGATCAACAATTTCTGAGTGAATCAATCAGTCTTTTATTCCGAGGCTCTGCTGACCCTGCCCTCCTTCGTTGGCCCTGCTCCGAAGACGAAATTGGGGGGCCAGCAGCATTGTCCATGCAAAATGAGTCAATCAATGGGTGATTTGGGGAAAGAGGCTTGGGCTCTTTCCCTCAGGCAGTTCCTGGTCAGGCTGGGTTCTTGGGGTAAGGGGTCAAGGAGGGGAAGATACAGGGGAGTTCATTGAGGGATACATATTTCATAATTACAAAATACAGGCATCATCCATATACAGGCATTTCATGTACCACAACCCACCACCCAACCCCAATCTTCATCCAAAAGAAAGTATTTTATTCATTCCATAAGAAAGAGAAAAAGGGAAAAAAAACTAGAAGTCCCAAGGTCCAAGCGGGGAGTTTTGGAGGTGAGGGCCAGCCCATGGCTCAGGCTGGCCAGCAGGAGATCAGTTCATTTCGTAAAAACAGGAGCTGGAGCTGAAGGAGGGAGCTCGGTTCCACCGTTCTGTCCTTGGTGGAACCAGCGCTCCCATCCGGGGATCGGACCTTCCCTGTCCGGTCCCCACTTGCAAGGCTTCCTCTTCGGGCAATCGGGGCTGACTGCAGGCGGCGGGAGCCATGCTGGAGTGAGCAGCGATGAGGGGAGTGAAGCAAGCGGCAAAAGCCAGCGAGTTTTGACAATCAGCTGGTGACTCGGCCGAATTTAATGATTAAACAAAAACAATTATTTCATGAGTGCAGGAGTCCAAAATGAGAAAACCAAGATAGCAGTTAGTCTTAGGATTGGGTGTAGAGAAGTATGAAACTTGAACGGCCCCGATCCGCCATGTTGTTGTTGTGGCGGATAAGGGGGGCCATTAGGAAAACCTCCGTATCCACGATGTTAGCTAACGCGAATCCGGGGGCCTGGGGAGGCCAGGAAGGCGTCCCCAGTGAGCTCACGGTTCCCCGGAGCTCAGGAAAAGATTTAGGGTGAGTTAGAAAGGCTGCAGTCAGTAAAAAGACACAAAGTATCATGCGGAGAGGATTCAAAGTTTCAAAACTTAAGTGTTTTATTGAGGGATTGGTTACAAAGATAGGGAGAGGGGAAAGTGAAAGAAGAAGACTTCGTGCAGTTCTTGGCTTTGAGCCGCTGGCTGGGGCGCGTTCCGTCAGTCGGACCCAACTTTGCTCTACGGAACTGCGGAACTCCCTGCTGCGCTTCAAACCAACTTGAAGGCGGGGGACTCCGCTACCTGGGGGGGTCATCATTTCCCCACTCGGGGACTGGAAGAGGCGGAGCCTCTGCATAGTCCCCGCCCACGCATTGTACCCAACCAGGGGCAGCAGGGCCATCTGGCGAGATGGATCGGAACGCCTTTTCCTTTTGCAAATTTGGAACAGAGCGGGAACATGAGACCAGCAGCAGCTCAAAGCCAAGAGGAAGACTATAAGACCCAAGAAAATCAGAAAACCCTTTCTGAGCCAATCTAAAGAAGGAAGCCAGTCTGTCAGAAAGCTGAGGTCAAAGCCAATGGTCTCTTTAATGCCAGCTGCCAAATTATTCATTCCCTCTATGGCCTTCCGGACTACAGGGGACTGGTCAGTCAGATTGAAGCAGCACATGTGGCGCACACTCTCACAGCCATAATGATTCTTTAACAACAAGAAATCTATGGCAGCCCGATTGTCCAGCACAGCTTCTCTGAGCTCATGCATCTCGGTGGCTATGGAAGCCAAGGCTTGTGAGGTGTAATTGATGTTTTTAACTAGCGCGCAGGCCAGATGTTTAATGGCCCTGTAGTTCATGCCGGCCGCCACCCCAGGGGTGAACAGGGCGGCTGCTACAAATTGGGGAATGCCCTTGATGACCAAAGAGGGATCACAATTTGGGTCCAAGTTTTGGATGGACCTTGCCTCCCTGGCCAATGAATGAGCCAGCTCAAGATCGCGTTTGGAAGGCATGAAAACGGACAGCCTACCCAGGGCGCAATTCCCTATGGAGGAATTGGCTGGGAGATAACTATAGGCTGTCTGCCCACACAGGAAGAACCACCCTGGGGGCAAAACCAAATGGGCATTCATGTGAGGCAAGATCTCTATGGAAGAGCAATTTAGCGTATTGTCCTGAGTCAATTTTTGGCACTTCCCCACACACTTGGGAACTTTGAAGCAGTGTGGGGCAAGGGGGCTATGGGCCAATTTGATAGCCACCATGCCAGGTTCCCTTTCACGAGCAGCCCTGCCCCATACGGACAAATCCCGATAGGACATAGACTTGGAAGGGATATGCTGAAAAATGGTGTAATTTCGAAAAGTTTCCAGAGGTTCTGGAACTCCGATCAGGCACGAAGAGAAAACATCAGTGGCCGTCACTCCGCTTGACAGACAGAAGTCAGAAACATTAAGGACCCTAGATGCCAATTGTTGCCAGAAGCTGGCCTTGTAGATCAAGCAAAAATTAGAAAGAAACACATGCTGAAATTTGGACCCCGACACTCGTAATAAATTGACTCACCGCTAGATGGCGCTGGTGCGGACAGTTCTTTGCTTTTCCGGCTTGCAGTGAAAAGTAAAACTGAGGTCAGATTGGGACAAGGAATGCACCCGTCAGAGTCAGCTGGAACTGACAGCTGTCAGCTGTCAAAGATCCCGGAAGTGATGAAAAAAAAATAGTTTCCCTTGGTGCTAGGGACACGAAATTTGGCGAGCGGCTTCAAGGGGCCATCCCTGTCCGGGTAAATGGTGTTTCTTCCCCTTGGAGGCCCCGGAAGGGAGTGGGCCGGCTGGATCTGTAGCAGGGGCGCCCTGGGGAGGTTCACCGTCCTTCTCCCCCTCGGTGGCCCCACTGCTTGCTCCGAACACGGCGGAGAGGAGAGGAGAGAAGGTGGGAGAGGGAGAGTGGAAGGAGGGGGAGGGGGAGAGCGAGAGTAAAGGGAGCCCGCCGCACGGGAAAGAGAGTGGTCTATTGAGGTAAGTGGGTTGTTGAGTGGGCGGGGGGGGAAGGGAGGGGTGAAGGGAGGAATGAAGAAGAGAGGGAGAAGGAAGGGGAGAAGGAGAGGAGGGAAGGAAGAGAGAAGAGGGAGAGAGAGAGAAAGGAGGAGAAGAGAGGAGGAGAAGAGGGAAGGAGGAAGAAGAGGAGGAGGAAGAAGAAGAGGGGAGGGAGAAGAAGGAGAAGAGGAAGAGGAAGAAGAAGAAGAAGAAGAGGGAGAAGAAGGGGAAGAGGAGGAGGAGAGGAAGGGGAAGAGAAAGGAAAGAAAGAAGAGAGAAAGAAAGGGAAAAAGAGGAGAAGGAGGAAGAGGAGAGGAAAAGAGAAGAGGAAGAGAAAGAGAAGGAAAAGGGAAAGGAGGAGGAGGAAGAGGAAAAGGAGAAGGCGCCCCCTCCCTGCAGCGAGTGACTGAAACTGCAGCAGGCTTGCGGACAAATCTCAAGAGTTCTTGAAATACCGCCAAGTGTTTCACAGGGCTGCCAGCCGTCTGTTGGCAGCCCTCCCCCCAACTGGTCCCAAGGGCACGAAGTGCAAAAGGAAGGCAAAGTCAGAGTCTGATGGATGTTGGCAGTCCCTCCCTCAATCAGTTCCAAGGCTCTGATTGAGGGTGTTGAGCTCCAACCTCTTGGGGCCAAGAGGTGCCAGGGAAAACGGTCCTGTTCCCCACTGGTGGGCGCTGCTGCCATGGATGGAAACTCTGGCTCCACATCTGAAAAGCAGGGGGCTGGTCCTTGGGGTCTGGGCGGCTGGTGCAGACTTCCTCAAGAGGGGGCGATGGACATCAGGGGTGGCTTGAATGCGGTGGCTGGTGTGGCCAGTGGGAGGCCTCCCTGGTGGACGGTGGGGGCCTGATGGCAAGTGGGCTGGCCAGCAGAAAGTCAATTGGCCCCTCTGGCATCCGGGGCGACCAGGACGCTCTGGGGCCCATAGACAGTCACCGGCCGGCCTTCTGCTCCCACAACAGTGGCAACCACAGTTCTTGTGGTGCTGCCCGGAGG